TTTTTTTTTTTGGCTTTTCTCCGGTACCGGGAACCGAACTCACGACCTTGCGCTTGCCAGGCAGGCGCTTTTGCCGCTGAGCTAAATCCCCAGCCCCAGATGTTACTTCTAAAGTCACTTGTTAGGAGTATCTTCAATTACTATTCTATCATTTATCAAAGAGCGTGCAGGTGCAGGCTGAATGCTTAAGGGAAAAGATGGTGAGATCTTTTATGGATCTATTAAAACATGAAAAACAACAGGATTTAAGTGTTTTGGTAAAAACCATAAAAAGCACCATAGTAAATAAGATACATGAATTGGTTTATATTATTTCAGAAGCCTCACAATCATACTTTTCAACCAAGCAATGGTAATACCCTGTTTCTACTTAGGATCTTACCCTTCTAAGAATTCTAAAATTACCAGGAAATATTTTACTCTCTTCAAAACATTGTTTCAGACTGGCATTTAAATATGCTAATAGATATTAACTACTGTTTGAAACAATCTGTGAAATTACTCTTCCAAGCCATCGATGTGAAAATATAGGTAAAAACTGGAAATTTAATCCAAGGTCATAATAATAATTCTAGATAATAATAATAATAATAATAGTAATAATAAAAAAATAATAAATATAATAACATGCCCTTATTTGCTCTTACTTTAAAATTTGTTTTATAACTTTTGTCAGAAGTGTATCAGATTTATTTCAAAAAGGAGCTTTATTGAAAATTAAAGAAAACAAAAAAGGGAAAGGAAAAGAAGGCTGATAACATCATGACTTGTTTTTAATCTCCCACATATGAACCAGGGTCCTCTAAATCTTCAGTCAGCTGGGCAAGCAGACTTTATATCTCAGGAGGTGTTGAAATCCTCCAGTTTCTCGTGCTTATAAATTGCCACTTTTATCTAGAAGCCATCACTGAGCGCTATAAAAATGCTGGTTAGCACTGTTCTGGCCAATGATATTGAATATGTGAGGTTATAGGGAGAAAAGGTCAACAAATACACATGTACAAACCCATAGTGGTAAACAGGAAAATAAAATGGTGTAAAGAATAGGAACAATGCTCACTTGGGGTTGGAGTTATCATTTTATATATACGTACCCAGGAGCATGTCACTGAGAAGGTGCATTTGAGTAGGGACCTGAACGAAGAGAGCACCTTGCAGAGGTCTGACGGAAGAGTCCCAGGTAAGGGTTTTACTGCGGCTTTGGCTTGCAGTGCCCACTTCGTTGTGATGTGTTCTGGAGATGTTTTCAGAGAGGCAGAGCAGCAACCAGTAGCAGTTACATGCATTTTCATAAATAGCATTTAATGTTATGCCCACTAAGATAATAACATGCTTGTATCAGATACAACACATTTCCAAGAGCAGCTTTATTCCAAACATTGAATATAGGAGACCTTTTTTTGATGTGGAACAGAAAGCCGTAGCATCCAAGAAGGTTAAAAATATGTAAATTCACCTTTCAATTAATATTTTAAAAACCTAGCTTTTCTAGATCTCACTGTTAAATAAAACACCATTAAAACAAATTTGGCATTCTCTTGGAGCACATA